AGGACAAAAGAGAAACCGCGCACGACAGAATAGAAACCGCGCGCGAGACATAAATGACCACTTAACACGCGTCTAGCGATAACTCGCTATTGACTCGACACATACACTCGACATCATGACTCAACATTCACACACAATTATAAGCATTAAATATAAATTATCCCATGCCCTCATACCATTCCATAGACACACACACATGCACGCACACGGACAACAAGCCGAGTGCAAACCATAGGGTTGCACCAACAGGGTGATGGAAAGCGGGAGAATGGGGCGGTGTGATGGAAAGCGGGTGAATAGGGTGGGCTGATGGAAAGCGGGAGAATGAGGCGGGGTGATGGAAGGAGGGAGAATGGGGCGGGGTGATGGAAAGCGGGAGAATGGGGCGGGGTGATGGAAAGTGGGAGAATGGGGCGGGGTGATGAAAAGCGGGAGAATGGGGCGGGGTGATGGAAAGCGGGAGCATGGGGCGAGGTGATGGAAGGAGGTAGATGGAGGTGGGGTGATGGAAGGAGGGAGAATGGGGCGGGGTGATGGAAAGCGGGAGAACGGGGCGGGGTGATGGAAGGAGGGAGAATGGGGCGTGATGATGGAAAGCGGGAGAATGGGGCGGGGTGATGGAAAGCGGGATAATGGGGCGGGGTGATGGAAAGCGGGAGAATGGGGCGGGGTGATGGAAAGCGGGAGAATGGGAAGGGCTGATGGAAAGCGGGAGAATAGGGCGGGGTGATCAAAGGAGGGAGAATGGGGCGGGGTGAAGGAAGGAGGGAGAATGGGGCGGGGTGATGGAAGGAGGGAGAATGGGGCGGGGTGATGGAAAGTGGGAGAATGTGGCAGGGTGATGGAAAGCGGGAGAATGGGGCGGGGTTATGGAAAGCGGGAGAATGGGGCGGGGTGACGGAAAGCGGGAGAGTGGGGCAGGGTGATGGAAGGAGGGAGAACGGGGCGGGGTGATGGAAAGCGGGAGAATGGGGCGTGGTGATGGAAAGCGGGAGAATGGGGCGGGGTGATGGAAAGCGGGAGAATAGGCCGGGGTGATGGAAAACAGGAGAATGGGGCGGGGTGATGGAAGGAGGTAGAATGAGGCGGGGTGATGGAAGGAGAAGAATAGGGCGGGGTGATGGAAAGCAGGAGAATGGGGCGGGGTGATGGAAAGCGGGAGAATGGGGCGGAGTGATGGAAAGCGGGAGAATGGGGCGGGGTGATGGAAAGCGGGAGAATGGGGCGTGGTGATGGAAAGCGGGAGAATGGGGCGGGGTGATGGGAGAATGGGGCGGGGTGATGGAAAGCGGGAGAATGGGGCGGGGTGATGGAAAGCGGGAGAATGGGGCGGTGTGATGGAAAGCGGGTGAATGGGGTGGGCTGATGGAAAGCGGGAGAACGGGGCGGGGTGATGGAAGGAGGGAGAATGGGGCGGGGTGATGGAAAGCGGGAGAATGGGGCGGGGTGATGGAAAGTGGGAGAATGGGGCGGGGTGATGAAAAGCGGGAGAATGGGGCGGGGTGATGGAAAGCGGGGGCATGGGGCGGGGTGATGGAAGGAGGTAGAATGAGGTGGGGTGATGGAAGGAGGGAGAATGGGGCGGGGTGATGGAAAGCGGGAGAATGGGGCGGGGTGATGGAAAGCGGGAGAATGGGGCGTGGTGATGGAAAGCGGGAGAATGGGGCGGGGTGATGGGAGAATGGGGCGTGGTGATGGAAAGCGGGAGAATGGGGCGGGGTGATGGAAAACGGGAGAATGGGGCGGGGTGATGGAAGGAGGTAGAATGAGGCAGGGTGATGGAAGGAGAAGAATAGGGCGGGGTGATGGAAAGCAGGAGAATGGGGCAGGGTGATGGAAAGCGGGAGAATGGGGCGGAGTGATGGAAAGCGGGAGAATGGGGCGGGGTGATTGAAAGCGGGAGAATGGGGCGTGGTGATGGAAAGCGGGAGAATGGGGCGGGGTGATGAGAGAATGGGGCGGGGTGATGAGAGAATGGGGCGGGGTGATGGAAAGCGGGAGAATGGGGCGGGGTGATGGAAAGCGGGAGAATGGGGCGGTGTGATGGAAAGCGGGTGAATGGGGTGGGCTGATGGAAAGCGGGAGAATGGGGCGGGGTGATGGAAGGAGGGAGAATGGGGCGGGGTGATGGAAAGTGGGAGAATGGGGCGGGATGATGAAAAGCGGGAGAATGGGGGGGGTGATGGAAAGCGGGGAGCATGGGGCGGGGTGATGGAAAGCGGGAGAATGGGGCGGGGTGATGGAAGGAGGGAGAATGGGGCGTGGTGATGGAAAGCGGGAGCATGGGGCGGGGTGATGGAAAGCGGGAGAATAGGGCGGGGTGATGGAAAGCGGGAGAATGGGGCGGGGTGATGGAAAGCGGGAGAATAGGGCGGGGTGATGGAAGGAGGGAGAAAGGGGCGGGGTGATGGAAGGAGGGAGAACGGGGCGGGTGATGGAAGGAGGGAGAATGGGGCGGGGTTATGGAAAGCGGGAGAATGGGGCGGGGTGATGGAAAGCGGGAGAATGGGGCGGGGTGATGGAAAGCGGGAGAATGGGGCGGGGAGATGGAAAGCGGGAGAATGGGGCGGGGTGATGGAAAGCGGGAGAATGGGGCGGGGTGATGGAAAGCGGGAGAATGGGGCGGGGTGATGGAAAGCGGGAGAATGGGGCGGGGTGATGGAAAGCGGGAGAATGGTGCGGGGTGATAGAAAGCGGGAGAATGGGGCGGGGTGATGGAAAGCGAGAGAATGGGGCGGGCTGATAAAAAGCGGGAGAATAGGGCGGGGTGATGGAAGGAGGGAGAAAGGGGCGGGGTGATGGAAGGAGGGAGAACGGGGCGGGTGATGGAAGGAGGGAGAATGGGGCGGGGTTATGGAAAGCGGGAGAATGGGGCGGGGTGATGGAAAGCAGGAGAATGGGGCGGGGTGATGGAAGGAGGGAGAATGGGGCGAGGTGATGGAAAGCGGGAGATTGGGGCAGGGTGATGGAAAGCGTGAGAATGGGGCAGGGTGATAGAAAGCGGGAAAATGGGGCGGGGTGATGGAACCTGGGAGAATGGGGCTGGGTGATGGAAAGCGGGAGAATGGGGCGGGGTGATGGAAGGAGGGAGAATGAGGGGGTCTGATTCCACCCCCTTCTCCCAGATTCCATCCCCTTCTCCCAGATTCCATCCCCTTCTCCCAGATTCCATCCCCTTCTCGCAGATTCCATCCCCTTCTCCTAGATTCCATCCCCTTCTCCCAGATTCCATCCCCTTCTCCCAGATTCCATCCCCTTCTCCCAGATTCCATCCCCTTCTCCTAGATTCCATCCCCTTCTCCCAGATTCCATCCCCTTCTCCCAGAGTTCATCCCCTTCTCCAAGATTCCACCCCCTTCTCCCAGATTCCATCCCCTTCTCCCAGATTCCATCCCCTTCTCCCAGATTCCATCCCCTTCTCCCAGATTCCATCCCCTTCTCCCAGATTCCATCCCCTTCTCCCAGATTCTAAACCCTAAATCCCTCATTCCATCCCCTTCTCCCCGATTCCATCCCCTTCTCCCAGATTCCATCCCTTTCTCCAAGATTCCATCCCCTTCTCCCTCCTTCCATCCCCTTCTCCCCGATTCCATCCCCTTCTCCCAGATTCCATCCCTTCTCCCAGATTCCATCCCCTTCTTCCAGATTCCATCCCCTTCTCCCTGATTCCATCCCCTTCTCCCATATTCCATCCCCTTCTCCTATATTCCATCCTCTTCTCCCAGATTCCACCCCCTTCTCCTAGATTCCATCCCCTTCTCCCAGATTCCATCCCTTTCTCCCAGATTCTATCCCCTTCTCCCTGATTCCATCCCCTTCTCCCAGATTCCATCCCCTTCTCCCAGATTCCATCCCCTTCTCCCTCATTCCAACCCCTTCTTCCCGATTCCATCCCCTTCTCCCAGATTCCATCCCCTTCTCCAAGATTCTATTCCCTTCTCCCTCATTCCATCCCCTTCTCCCCGATTCCATCCCCTTCTCCCAGATTCCATCCCTTCTCCAAGATTCCATCCCCTTCTCCCAGATTCCATCCCCTTCTCCCCGATTCCATCCCCTTCTCCCAGATTCCATCCCCTTCTCCCATATTCCATCCCCTTCTCTCAGATTCCATCCCCTTCTCCCAGATTCCATCCCCTTCTCCCTGATTCCATCCCCTTCTCCCAAATTCCATCCCCTTCTCCCAGATTCCATCCCCTTCTCCCAGATTCCATCCCCTTCTCCCAAATTCTATCCCCTTCTCCTAGATTCCATCCCTTTCTCCTAGATTCCACCCCCTTCTCCCAGATTCCATCCCCTTCTCCCAGATTCCATCCCCTTCTCCCTGATTCGATCCCCTTCTCCCAGATTCCATCCCCTTCTCCCAGATTCCATCCCCTTCTCCCAGATTCCATCCCCTTCTCCCAGATTTCATCCCCTTCTCCCAGATTCCACCCCCTTCTCTCAGATTCCATCCCCTTCTCCCAGATTCCATCCCCTTCTCCTAGATTCCATCCCCTTCTCCCTCATTCCATCCCCTTCTTCCCGATTCCATCCCCTTCTCCCAGATTCCATCCCCTTCTCCCATATTCCATCCCCTTCTCCCAGATTCCATCCCCTTCTCCCTCATTCCATCCCCTTCTCCCCGATTCCATCCCCTTCTCCCATATTCCATCCCATTCTCCTAGATTCCACCCCCTTCTCCCAGATTCCACCCCCTTCTCCCAGATTCCATCCCCTTCTCCCAGATTCCATCCCCTTCTCCCAGATTTCATCCCCTTCTCCCAGATTCCACCCCCTTCTCTCAGATTCCATCCCCTTCTCCCAGATTCCATCCCCTTCTCCTAGATTCCATCCCCATCTCCCTCATTCCATCCCCTTCTTCCCGATTCCATCCCCTTCTCCCAGATTCCATCCCCTTCTCCCATATTCCATCCCCTTCTCCCAGATTCCATCCCCTTCTCCCTCATTCCATCCCCTTCTCCCCGATTCCATCCCCTTCTCCCATATTCCATCCCATTCTCCTAGATTCCACCCCCTTCTCCCAGATTCCACCCCCTTCTCCCAGATTCCATCCCCTTCTCCCTGATTCCATCCGCTTCTCCCATATTCCATCCCCTTCTCCCAAATTCCACCCCCTTCTCCCAGATTCCATCACCTTCTCCCAGATTCCATCCCCTTCTCCCATATTCTATCCCCTTCTCCCAAATTCCATCCACTTCTCTCAGATTCCATCCCCTTCTCCCAAATTCCATCCCCTTCTCCCAGATTCCATCCCCTTCTCCTAGATTCCACCCCCTTCTCCCAGATTCCATCCCCTTCTCCCAGATTCCATCCCCTTCTCCCAGATTCCATCCCCTTCTCCCTGATTCCATCCCCTTCTCCCTGATTCCATCCCCTTCTCCTAGATTCCATCCCCTTCTCCCAGATTCCATCCCCTTCTCCCAGAGTTCATCCCCTTCTCCCAGATTCCACCCCCTTCTCCCAGATTCCATCCCCTTCTCCCAGATTCCATCCCCTTCTCCCAAATTCCATCCCATTCTCCCTGATTTCATCCCCTTCTTCCAGATTCTATACCCTTCTCCCTGATTCCATCCCCTTCTCCCAGATTCTATCCCCTTCTCCCAGATTCCATCCCCTTCTCCCAGATTCCACCCCCTTCTCCCAGATTCCATCCCCTTCTCCCGGATTCCATCCCCTTCTCCCTGATTCCATCCCCTTCTCCTTGATTCCATCCCCTTCTCCCAGAGTTCATCCCCTTCTCCCAAATTCCACCCCCTTCTCCCAGATTCCATCCCCTTCTCCAAGATGCCATCCCCTTCTCCCAAATTCCATCCCATTCTCCTTGATTTCATCCCCTTCTCCCAGATTCTATACCCTTCTCCCAGATTCCATCCCCTTCTCCCAGCTTCCACCCCCTTCTCCCAGATTCCATCCCCTTCTCCCAGATTCCATCCCCTTCTCCCTGATTCCATCCCCTACTCCTAGATTCCATCCCCTTCTCCCAGATTCCATCCCCTTCTCCGAGATTCCATCCCCTTCTCCCAGATTCCATCCCCTTCTCCCAGATTCCATCCCCTTCTCCCAGATTCCACCCCCTTCTCCCAGATTCCATCCCCTTCTCCCAGATTCCATCCCCTTCTCCCAGATTCCATCCCCTTTTCGCAGATTCCATCCCCTTCTCCTAGATTCCATCCCCTTCTCCCAGATTCCATCCCCTTCTCCCTGATTCCATCCCCTTCTCCCTGATTCCATCCCCTTCTCCTAGATTCCATCCCCTTCTCCCAGATTCCATCCCCTTCTCCCAGATTCCATCCCCTTCTCCTAGATTCCATCCCCTTCTCCCAGATTCCATCCCCTTCTCCCAAATTCCATCCCCTTCTCCCAAATTCCACCCCCTTCTCCCAGATTCCATCCCCTTCTCCCAGATTCCATCCCCTTCTCCCTGATTCCATCCCCTTCTCCCAGATTCCATCCCCTTCTCCCTGATTCCATCCCCTTCTCCTTGATTCCACCCCCTTCTCCCAGATTCCATCCCCTTCTCCCAGATTCCATCCCCTTCTCCCAGATTCCATCCCCTTTTCGCAGATTCCATCCCCTTCTCCTAGATTCCATCCCCTTCTCCCAGATTCCATCCCCTTCTCCCTGATTCCATCCCCTTCTCCCTGATTCCGTCCCCTTCTCCTAGATTCCATCCCCTTCTCCCAGATTCCATCCCCTTCTCCCAGAGTTCATCCCCTTCTCCCAGATTCCACCCCCTTCTCCCAGATTCCATCCCCTTCTCCCAGATTCCATCCCCTTCTTCCAAATTCAATCCCATTCTCCGTGATTTCATCCCCTTCTCCCATATTCTATACCCTTCTCCCAGATTCCATCTCCTTCTCCCAGCTTCCACCCCCTTTTCCCAGATTCCATCCCCTTCTCCCAGATTCCATCCCCTTCTCCCTGATTCCATCCCCTACTCCTAGATTCCATCCCCTTCTCCCAGAGTTCATCCCCTTCTCCCAGATTCCACCCCTTTCTTCCAGATTCCATCTCCTTCTCCAAGATTCCATCCCCTTCTCCCAAATTCCATCCCATTCTCCCTGATTTCATCCCCTTCTCCCAGATTCTATACCCTTTTCCCAAATTCCATCCCCTTCTCCCAGAGTTCATCCCCTTCTCCCAGATTCCACCCCCTTCTCCCAGATTCCATCTTCTTCTCCAAGATTCCATCCCCTTCTCCCAAATTCCATCTCCTTCTCCCAAATTCCACCCCCTTCTCCCAGATTCCATCCCCTTCTCCCAGATTCCATCCCCTTCTCCATGATTCCATCCCCTACTCCTAGATTCCATCCCCTTCTCCCAGATTCCATCCCCTTCTCCCAAATTCCATCCCTTCTCCAAGATTCCATCCCCTTCTCCCAGATTCCATCCCCTTCTCACAGATTGCATCCCCTTCTCCCAGAGTTCATCCCCTTCTCCCAGATTCCACCCCCTTCTCCCAGATTCCATCCCCTTCTCCCAGATTCCATCCCCTTCTTCCAAATTCCATCCCATTCTCCCTGATTTCATCCCCTTCTCCCAGATTCTATACCCTTCTCCCAGATTCCACCCCTTTCTCCCAGATTCCATCCCCTTGTCCCAGATTCCATCCTCTTCTCCCTCATTCCATCCCCTTCTCCTAGATTCCATCCCCTTCTCCCAGATTCCATCCCCTTCTCCTAGATTCCATCCCCTTCTCCCAGATTCCATCCCCTTCTCCCAGATTCCATCTCCTTCTCCCAGATTCCACCCCCTTCTCCCAGATTCCATCCCCTTCTCCCAGATTCCATCCCCTTCTCCCTGATTCCACCCCGTTCTCCCAAATTCCATCCCCTTCTCCCATATTCCATCCCCTTCTCCCAGATTCCATCCCCTTCTCGCAGATTCCATCCCCTTCTCTTAGATTCCATCCCCTTCTCCCAGATTCCATCCCCTTCTCCCAGATTCCATCCCCTTCTCCCAGATTCCATCCCCTTCTAGATTCCATCCCCTTCTCCCAGATTCCATCCCCTTCTCCCAGAGTTCATCCCCTTCTCCCAGATTCCATCCCCTTCTCCCAGATTCCATCCCTTTCTCCCTGATTCCATCCCCTTCTCCCAGATTCCATCCCCTTCTCCCAGATTCCATCCCCTTCTCCCAGATTCCATCCCCTTCTCCCAAATTTCATCCCCTTCTCCCAGATTTCATCCCCTTCTCCCAGATTCTATACCCTTCTCCCAGATTCCATCCCCTTCTCCCAGATGCCATCCCCTTCTCCCAAATTTCATCCCCTTCTCCAGATTCCACCCCCTTCTCCCAGATTCCATCCCCTTCTCCCAGATTCCATCCCCTTCTTCCAAATTCCATCCCATTCTCCCTGATTTCATCCCCTTCTCCCAGATTCTATACCCTTCTCCCAGATTCCATCCCCTTCTCCCAGATTCCACCCCCTTCTCCCAGATTCCATCCCCTTCTCCCAGATTCCATCCCCTTCTCCCTCATTCCATCCCCTTCTCCTAGATTCCATCCCCTTCTCCCAGATTCCATCCCCTTCTCCCAGATTCCATCCCCTTCTCCCAGATTCCATCCCCTTCTCCCAGATTCCATCTCCTTCTCCCAGATTCCACCCCCTTCTCCCAGATTCCATCCCCTTCTCCCAGATTCCATCCCCTTCTCCCTGATTCCATCCCCTTCTCCTTGATTCCATCCCCTTCTCCCATATTCCATCCCCTTCTCCCTGATTCCATCCCCTTCTCCCTGATTCCACCCCGTTCTCCCAGATTCCATCCCCTTCTCCCAGATTCCATCCCCTTCTCCCAGACTCCATCCCCTTTTCTTTGATTCCATCCCCTTCTCCTAGATTCCATCCCCTTCTCCCAGATTCCATCCCCTTCTCCCATATTCCATCCCCTTCACCCAGATACCATCCCCTTCTCCCAGATTCCATCCCCTTCTCCCAGATTCGATCCCCTTCTCCCAGATGCCATCCCCTTCTCCCAGGTTCCATCCCCTTTTCCCAGATTCCATCCCTTTGTCCCTCATTCCATCCCCTTCTCCCAGATTCCATCCCCTTCTCCCCGATTCCATCTCCTTCTCCCAGATTCCATTCCCTTCTCCCAGATTCCATCCCCTTGTCCCAAATTCCATCCCCTTGTCCCAGATTCCATCCCCTTCTCCCAGATTCCATCCCCTTCTCCCTGATTCCATCCCCTTCTCCCATATTCCATCCCCTTCACCCAGATACCATCCCCTTCTCCCAGATTCCATCCCCTTCTCCCAGATTCGATCCCCTTCTCCCAGATTCCATCCCCTTCCCCCTGATTCCATCCCCTTCTCCCAGATTCCATCCCCTTCTCCTTGATTCCATCCCCTTCTCCCAGATTCCATCCCCTTTTCCCAGATTCCATCCCCTTCTCCTAGATTCTATCTCCTTCTCCCAGGTTCCATCCCCTTCTCCCTGATTCCATCCCTTTCTCCCAGATTCCATCCCCTTCTCCCAGATTCCATCCCCTTCTCCCAGATTCCATCCCCTTCTCCCTGATTCCACCCCCTTCTCCCAGATTCCATCCCCTTCTCCCAGACTCCATCCCCTTTTCTTTGATTCCATCCCCTTCTCCTAGATTCCATCCCCTTCTCCCAGATTCCATCCCCTTCTCCCATATTCCATCCCCTTCACCCAGATACCATCCCCTTCTCCCAGATTCCATCCCCTTCTCCCAGATTCCATCTCTTCTCCCAGATTCTATCCCCTTCTCCCAGATTCCATCCCCTTCTCCCAGATTCCACCCCCTTCTCCCAGATTCCATCCCCTTCTCCCAGATTCCATCCCCTTCTCCCAAATTCCATCCCCTTCTCCCAGATTCCATCCCCTTCTCCCAGATTCCATCCCCTTCTCCCGGATTCCATCCCCTTCTCCTAGATTCCATCCCCTTCTCCCGGATTCCATCCCCTTCTCCCAGATTCCATCCCCTTCTCCCGGATTCCATCCCCTTCTCCCTGATTCCACCCCCTTCTCCCAAATTCCATCCCCTTCTCCCGGACTCCATCCCCTTCTCCCAAATTCCATCCCCTTCTCCCAGATTCCATCCCCTTCTCCCAAATTCCATCCCCTTCTCCCAGATTCTGTCCCCTTCACCCAGATTCCATCCCCTTCTCCCAGATTCCATCCCCTTCTCCCAGATTCCATCCCCTTCTCCCAGATTCCATCCCCTTCTCCCATTCCATTCCCTTCTCCCAGATTCCATCCCCTTTTCCCAATTCCATCCCCTTCTCCCAGATTCCATCCCCTTCTCCAGATTCCATCCCCTTCTCCCAAATTCTATCCCCTTCTCCCTGATTTCATCCCTTCTCCCTGATTCCATCCCCTTCTCCCTGATCCCATCCCCTTCTCCCAGATTCCATCCCCTTCTCCCAGATTCCATCCCCTTCTCCTAGATTCCATCCCCTTCTCCCAAATTCCATCCCCTTCTCCCAGATGCCATCCCCTTCTCCCAAGTTCCATCCCCTTTTCCCAGATTCCATCCCTTTGTCCCTCATTCCATCCCCTTCTCCCAGATTCCATCCCCTTCTCCCCGATTCCATCCCCTTCTCCCAGATTCCATTCCCTTCTCCCAGATTCCATCCCCTTGTCCCAAATTCCATCCCCTTGTCCCAGATTCCATCCCCTTCTCCCACATTCCATCCCCTTCTCCCTGATTCCATCCCCTTCTCCCAGATTCCATCCCCTTCTCCTAAATTCCATCCCCTTCTCCCAGATTCCATCCCTTTCTCCCCGATTCCATCCCCTTCTCCCTAATTCCATCCCCTTCTCCCAGATTCCATCCCCTTCTCCCTGATTCCATCTCCTTCTCCCAGATTCCATCCCCTTCTCCCAGATTCCATCCCCTTCTCCCAGATTCCTTCCCCTTCTCCCAAATTCGATCCCCTTCTCCCAGATTCCATCCCCTAAACCCTAGAGTCCAACCCCTTCTCCCAGATTCCATCCCCTTCTCCCTGATTCCATCCCCTTCTCCCAGATTCCATTCCCTTCTCCCAGATTCCATCCCCTTGTCCCAAATTCCATCCCCTTGTCCCAGATTCCATCCCCTTCTCCCAGATTCCATCCCCTTCTCCCTGATTCCATCCCCTTCTCCTAGATTCCATCCCCTTCTCCTAAATTCCATCCCCTTCTCCCAGATTGCATCCCTTTCTCCCCGATTCCATCCCCTTCTCCCTCATTCCATCCCCTTCTCCGAGATTCCATCCCCTTCTCCCAGATTCCATCCCCTTCTCCCAGATTCCATCCCCTTCTCCCGGAATCCATCCCCTTCTCCCAGATTCCATCCCCTTCTCCCGGATTCCATCCCCTTCTCCCTGATTCCACCCCCTTCTCCCAGATTCCATCCCCTTCTCCCGGACTCCATCCCCTTCTCTTTGATTCCATCCCCTTCTCCTAGATTCCATCCCCTTCTCCCAGATTCCATCCCCTTCTCCCAGATTCCATCCCCTTCACCCAGATACCATCCCCTTCTCCCAGATTCCATCCCCTTATCCCAGATTCCATCTCTTCTCCCAGATTCTATCCCCTTCTCCCAGATTCCATCCCCTTCTCCCAGATTCCACCCCCTTCTCCCAGATTCCATCCCCTTCTCCCAGATTCCATCCCCTTCTCCCAGATTTCATCCCCTTCTCCCAGATTCCATCCTCTTCTCCCAGATTCCATCCCCTTCTCCCAGATTCCATCCCCTTCTCCCGGATTCCATCCCCTTCTCCCAGATTCCATCCCCTTCTCCCGGATTCCATCCCCTTCTCCCTGATTCCACCCCCTTCTCCCAGATTCCATCCCCTTCTCCCGGACTCCATCCCCTTCTCCCTAATTCCTTCCCCTTCTCCCAGATTCCATCCCCTTCTCCCAAATTCCATCCCCTTCTCCCATATTCCGTCCCCTTCACCCAGATTCCATCCCCTTCTCCCAGATTCCATCCCCTTCTCCCAGATTCCATCCCCTTCTCCCATTCCATTCCCTTCTCCCAGATTCCATCCCCTTTTCCCAATTCCATCCCCTTCTCCCAGATTCCATCCCCTTCTCCCAAATTCCATCCCCTTCTCCCAGATTCCATCCCCTTCTCCCAAATTCTATCCCCTTCTCCCTGATTTCATCTCTTCTCCTTGATTCCATCCCCTTCTCCCAGATTCCTTCCCCTTCTCCCAAATTCGATCCCCTTCTCCCAGATTCCATCCCCTAAACCCTAGAGTCCAACCCCTTCTCCCAGATTCCATCCCCTTCTCCCTGATTCCATCCCCTTCTCCCAGATTCCATTCCCTTCTCCCAGATTCCATCCCCTTGTCCCAAATTCCATCCCCTTGTCCCAGATTCCATCCCCTTCTCCCAGATTCCATCCCCTTCTCCCTGATTCCATCCCCTTCTCCTAGATTCCATCCCCTTCTCCTAAATTCCATCCCCTTCTCCCAGATTGCATCCCTTTCTCCCCGATTCCATCCCCTTCTCCCTCATTCCATCCCCTTCTCCGAGATTCCATCCCCTTCTCCCAGATTCCATCCCCTTCTCCCAGATTCCATCCCCTTCTCCCGGAATCCATCCCCTTCTCCCAGATTCCATCCCCTTCTCCCGGATTCCATCCCCTTCTCCCTGATTCCACCCCCTTCTCCCAGATTCCATCCCCTTCTCCCGGACTCCATCCCCTTCTCTTTGATTCCATCCCCTTCTCCTAGATTCCATCCCCTTCTCCCAGATTCCATCCCCTTCTCCCAGATTCCATCCCCTTCACCCAGATACCATCCCCTTCTCCCAGATTCCATCCCCTTATCCCAGATTCCATCTCTTCTCCCAGATTCTATCCCCTTCTCCCAGATTCCATCCCCTTCTCCCAGATTCCACCCCCTTCTCCCAGATTCCATCCCCTTCTCCCAGATTCCATCCCCTTCTCCCGGATTCCATCCCCTTCTCCCAGATTCCATCCCCTTCTCCCGGATTCCATCCCCTTCTCCCTGATTCCACCCCCTTCTCCCAGATTCCATCCCCTTCTCCCGGACTCCATCCCCTTCTCCCTAATTCCTTCCCCTTCTCCCAGATTCCATCCCCTTCTCCCAAATTCCATCCCCTTCTCCCATATTCCGTCCCCTTCACCCAGATTCCATCCCCTTCTCCCAGATTCCATCCCCTTCTCCCAGATTCCATCCCCTTCTCCCATTCCATTCCCTTCTCCCAGATTCCATCCCCTTTTCCCAATTCCATCCCCTTCTCCCAGATTCCATCCCCTTCTCCCAAATTCCATCCCCTTCTCCCAGATTCCATCCCCTTCTCCCAAATTCTATCCCCTTCTCCCTGATTTCATCTCTTCTCCTTGATTCCATCCCCTTCTCCCTGATCCCATCCCCTTCTCCCAGATTCCATCCCCTTCTCCCAGATTCCATCCCCTTCTCCTAGATTCCATCCCCTTCTCCCAGATTCCATCCCCTTCTCCCAGATGCCATCCCCTTCTCCCAGGTTCCATCCCCTTTTCCCAGATTCCATCCCTTTGTCCCTCATTCCATCCCCTTCTCCCAGATTCCATCCCCTTCTCCCCGATTCCATCTCCTTCTCCCAGATTCCATTCCCTTCTCCCAGATTCCATCCCCTTGTCCCAAATTCCATCCCCTTGTCCCAGATTCCATCCCCTTCTCCCAGATTCCATCCCCTTCTCCCTGATTCCATCCCCTTCTCCTAGATTCCATCCCCTTCTCCTAAATTCCATCCCCTTCTCCCAGATTCCATCCCTTTCTCCCCGATTCCATCCCCTTCTCCGAGATTCCATCCCCTTCTCCCAGATTCCATCTCCTTCTCCCAGATTCCTTCCCTTCTCCCTGATTCCATCCCCTTCTCCCTCATTCCATCCCCTTCTCTCAGATTCCATCCCCTTCTCCCAGATTCCATCCCCTTCTCCTAGATTCCATCCCCTTCTCCGAGATTCCATCCCCTTCACCCTGATTCCATCCCCTTCTCCGAGATTCCATCCCCTTCTCCCTCATTCCATCCCCTTCTCCCAGATTCCATCCCCATCTCCCAGATTCCATCCCCTTCTCCCAGATTCCATCCCCTTCCCCTAGATTCCATCCCCTTCTCCCAGATTCCATCCCCTTCTCCCAGATTTCATCCCCTTCTCCCAGATTCTATCCCCTTCTCCCAGATTCTATCCCCTTCTCCCAGATTCCATCCCCTTCTCCCAGATTCCATCCCCTTCTCCCAGATTCCATCCCCTTCCCCCTGATTCCATCCCCTTTTCCCATATTCCATCCCCTTCTCCTTGATTCCATCCCCTTCTCCCAGATTCCATCCCCTTCTCCCTGATTCCATCCCCTTCTCCCAGATTCCATCCCCTTCTCCCGGAATCCATCCCCTTCTCCCAGATTCCATCCCCTTCTCCCTGATTCCATCCCCTTCTCCTAGATTCCATCCCCTTCTCCTAAATTCCATCCCCTTCTCCCAGATTCCATCCCTTTCTCCCCGATTCCATCCCCTTCTCCGAGATTCCATCCCCTTCTCCCAGATTCCATCTCCTTCTCCCAGATTCCTTCCCTTCTCCCTGATTCCATCCCCTTCTCCCTCATTCCATCCCCTTCTCTCAGATTCCATCCCCTTCTCCCAGATTCCATCCCCTTCTCCTAGATTCCATCCCCTTCTCCGAGATTCCATCCCCTTCACCCTGATTCCATCCCCTTCTCCGAGATTCCATCCCCTTCTCCCTCATTCCATCCCCTTCTCCCAGATTCCATCCCCATCTCCCAGATTCCATCCCCTTCTCCCAGATTCCATCCCCTTCCCCTAGATTCCATCCCCTTCTCCCAGATTCCATCCCCTTCTCCCAGATTCCATCCCCTTCTCCCAGATTCTATCCCCTTCTCCCAGATTCTATCCCCTTCTCCCAGATTCCATCCCCTTCTCCCAGATTCCATCCCCTTCTCCCAGATTCCATCCCCTTCCCCCTGATTCCATCCCCTTTTCCCATATTCCATCCCCTTCTCCTTGATTCCATCCCCTTCTCCCAGATTCCATCCCCTTCTCCCTGATTCCATCCCCTTCTCCCAGATTCCATCCCCTTCTCCCGGAATCCATCCCCTTCTCCCAGATTCCATCCCCTTCTCCCGGATTCCATCCCCTTCTCCTAGATTCCACCCCCTTCTCCCAGATTCCATCCCCTTCTCCCAGATTCCATCCCCTTCTCCCAGATTCCATCCCCTTCTCCCTAATTCCATCCCCTTCTCCCAGATTCCATCCCCTTCTCCCGGATTCCATCCCCTTCTCCCAGATTCCATCCCCTTCTCCTAAATTCCATCCCCTTCTCCCAGATTCCATCCCTTTCTCCCCGATTCCATCCCTTTCTCCCTCATTCCATCCCCTTCTCCGAGATTCCATCCCCTTCTCCCAGATTCCATCTCCTTCTCCCAGATTCCTTCCCTTCTCCCTGATTCCATCCCCTTCTCCCTCATTCCATCCCCTTCTCTCAGATTCCATCCCCTTCTCCCAGATTCCATCCCCTTCTCCTAGATTCCATCCCCTTCTCCGAGATTCCATCCCCTTCACCCTGATTCCATCCCCTTCTCCGAGATTCCATCCCCTTCTCCCTCATTCCATCCCCTTCTCCCAGATTCCATCCCCATCTCCCAGATTCCATCCCCTTCTCCCAGATTCCATCCCCTTCCCCTAGATTCCATCCCCTTCTCCCAGATTCCATCCCCTTCTCCCAGATTCCATCCCCTTCTCCCAGATTCTATCCCCTTCTCCCAGATTCTATCCCCTTCTCCCAGATTCCATCCCCTTCTCCCAGATTCCATCCCCTTCTCCCAGATTCCATCCCCTTCCCCCTGATTCCATCCCCTTCTCCCGGAATCCATCCCCTTCTCCCAGATTCCATCCCCTTCTCCCGGATTCCATCCCCTTCTCCCAGATTCCATCCCCTTCTCCCGGAATCCATCCCCTTCTCCCAGATTCCATCCCCTTCTCCCGGATTCCATCCCCTTCTCCTAGATTCCACCCCCTTCTCCCAGATTCCATCCCCTTCTCCCAGATTCCATCCCCTTCTCCCAGATTCCATCCCCTTCTCCCTAATTCCATCCCCTTCTCCCAGATTCCATCCCCTTCTCCCGGATTCCATCCCCTTCTCCCAGATTCCATCCCCTTCTCCCGAATTCCATCCCCTTCTCCCTGATTCCACCCCTTTCTCCCAGATTCCATCCCCTTCTCCCAGATTCCATCCCCTTCTCCCCGATTCCATCCCCTTCTCCCTGATTGCATCCCCTTCTCCCAGATTCCATCCCCTTCTCCTAAATTCCATCCCCTTCTCCCAGATTCCATCCCCTTCTCCCCGATTCCATCCCCTTCTCCCCGATTCCATCCCCTTCTCCCTCATTCCATCCCCTTCTCTCAGATTCCATCCCCTTCTCCCAGATTCCATCCCCTTCTCCTAGATTCCATCCCCTTCTCCGAGATTCCATCCCCTTCACCCTGATTCCATCCCCTTCTCCGAGATTCCATCCCCTTCTCCCTCATTCCATCCCCTTCTCCCACATTCCATCCCCATCTCCCAGATTCCATCCCCTTCTCCCAGATTCCATCCCCTTCTCCTAGATTCCATCCTCTTCTCCCTAATTCCATCCCCTTCTCCCAAATTCCATCCCCTTCTCCCAGATTCGATCCCCTTCTCCCTGATTCTATCCCCTTCTCCCAGATTCCATCCCCTTCTCCCAGATTCCATCCCCTTCTCCCAGATTCCATCCCCTTCCCCTTGATTCCATCCCCTTTTCCCAGATTCCATCCCCTTCTCCTTGATTCCATCCCCTTCTCCCAGATTCCATCCCCTTCTCCCTGATTCCATCCCCTTCTCCCAGATTCCATCCCCTTCTCCCGGAATCCATCCCCTTCTCCCAGATTCCATCCCCTTCTCCCGGATTCCATCCCCTTCTCCCAGATTCCACCCCCTTCTCCCAGATTCCATCCCCTTCTCCCAGATTCCTTCCCCTTCTCCCAGATTCCATCCCCTTCTCCCAAATTCCATCCCCTTCTCCCAGATTCCATCCCCTTCTCCCGGATTCCATCCCCTTCTCCCAGATTCCATCCCCTTCTCCCGGATTCCATCCCCTTCTCCCTGATTCCACCCCCTTCTCCGAGATTCCATCCCCTTCTCCCGGACTCCATCCCCTTCTCCCAAATTCCATCCCCTTCTCCCAAATTCCATCCCCTTCTCCCAAATTCCATCCCCTTCTCCCAGATTCCGTCCCCTTCACCCAGATTCCATCCCCTTCTCCCAGATTCCATCCCCTTCTCCCAGATTCCATCCCCTTCTCCCAGATTCCATCCCCTTCTCCCATTCCATTCCCTTCTCCCAGATTCCATCCCCTTTTCCCAATTCCATCCCCTTCTCCCAGATTCCATCCCCTTCTCCAGATTCCATCCCCTTCTCCCAAATTCTATCCCCTTCTCCCTGATTTCATCCCTTCTCCCTGATTCCATCCCCTTCTCCCTGATCCCATCCCCTTCTCCCAGATTCCATCCCCTTCTCCCAGATTCCATCCCCTTCTCCTAGATTCCATCCCCTTCTCCCAAATTCCATCCCCTTCTCCCAGATGCCATCCCCTTCTCCCAGGTTCCATCCCCTTTTCCCAGATTCCATCCCTTTGTCCCTCATTCCATCCCCTTCTCCCAGATTCCATCCCCTTCTCCCCGATTCCATCCTCTTCTCCCAGATTCCATTCCCTTCTCCCAGATTCCATCCCCTTGTCCCAAATTCCATCCCCTTGTCCCAGATTCCATCCCCTTCTCCCACATTCCATCCCCTTCTCCCTGATTCCATCCCCTTCTCCCAGATTCCATCCCCTTCTCCTAAATTCCATCCCCTTCTCCCAGATTCCATCCCTTTCTCCCCGATTCCATCCCCTTCTCCCTCATTCCATCCCCTTCTCCGAGATTCCATCCCCTTCTCCCTGATTCCATCTCCTTCTCCCAGATTCCATCCCCTTCTCCCAGATTCCATCCCCTTCTCCCAGATTCCTTCCCCTTCTCCCAAATTCGATCCCCTTCTCCCAGATTCCATCCCCTTCTCCCAGAGTCCAACCCCTTCTCCCAGATTCCATCCCCTTCTCCCTGATTCCATCCTCTTCTCCCAGATTCCATCACCTTCTCCCAGATTCTATCTCTTCTCCCCGATTCCATCACCTTCTCCCATATTTCATCCCCTTCTCCCAGATTCCATCCTCTTCTCCCAGATTCCATCCCCTTCTCCCAGATTCCATCCCCTTCTCCCAGATTCCATCCCTTTCTGTTTGATTCCATCCCCTTCTCCCAGATTCTATCCCCTTCTCCCAGATTCCATCCCCTTCTCCCAGATTCCATCCCCTTCTCCCAGATTCCATCTCCTTCTCCAAAATTCTATCCCATTCTCCCAAATTTCATCCCCTTCTCTTTGATTCCATCCCCTTCTCCCCGATTCCATCCCCTTCTCCCTGATTGCATCCCCTTCTCCCAGATTCCATCCCCTTCTCCTAAATTCCATCCCCTTCTCCCAGATTCCATCCCCTTCTCCCTCATTCCATCCCCTTCTCTCAGATTCCATCCCCTTCTCCCAGATTCCATCCCCTTCTCCTAGATTCCATCCCCTTTTCCGAGATTCCATCCCCTTCACCCTGATTCCATCCCCTTCTCCGAGATTCCATCCCCTACTCCCTCATTCCATCCCCTTCTCCCAGATTCCATCCCCTTCTCCCATTCCATTCCCTTCTCCCAGATTCCATCCCCTTTTCCCAATTCCATCCCCTTCTCCCAGATTCCATCCCCTTCTCCAGATTCCATCCCCTTCTCCCAAATTCTATCCCCTTCTCCCTGATTTCATCCCTTCTCCCTGATTCCATCCCCTTCTCCCTGATCCCATCCCCTTCTCCCAGATTCCATCCCCTTCTCCCAGATTCCATCCCCTTCTCCTAGATTCCATCCCCTTCTCCCAAATTCCATCCCCTTCTCCCAGATGCCATCCCCTTCTCCCAGGTTCCATCCCCTTTTCCCAGATTCCATCCCTTTGTCCCTCATTCCATCCCCTTCTCCCAGATTCCATCCCCTTCTCCCCGATTCCATCCTCTTCTCCCAGATTCCATTCCCTTCTCCCAGATTCCATCCCCTTGTCCCAAATTCCATCCCCTTGTCCCAGATTCCATCCCCTTCTCCCACATTCCATCCCCTTCTCCCTGATTCCATCCCCTTCTCCCAGATTCCATCCCCTTCTCCTAAATTCCATCCCCTTCTCCCAGATTCCATCCCTTTCTCCCCGATTCCATCCCCTTCTCCCTCATTCCATCCCCTTCTCCGAGATTCCATCCCCTTCTCCCTGATTCCATCTCCTTCTCCCAGATTCCATCCCCTTCTCCCAGATTCCATCCCCTTCTCCCAGATTCCTTCCCCTTCTCCCAAATTCGATCCCCTTCTCCCAGATTCCATCCCCTTCTCCCAGAGTCCAACCCCTTCTCCCAGATTCCATCCCCTTCTCCCTGATTCCATCCTCTTCTCCCAGATTCCATCACCTTCTCCCAGATTCTATCTCTTCTCCCCGATTCCATCACCTTCTCCCATATTTCATCCCCTTCTCCCAGATTCCATCCTCTTCTCCCAGATTCCATCCCCTTCTCCCAGATTCCATCCCCTTCTCCCAGATTCCATCCCTTTCTGTTTGATTCCATCCCCTTCTCCCAGATTCTATCCCCTTCTCCCAGATTCCATCCCCTTCTCCCAGATTCCATCCCCTTCTCCCAGATTCCATCTCCTTCTCCAAAATTCTATCCCATTCTCCCAAATTTCATCCCCTTCTCTTTGATTCCATCCCCTTCTCCCCGATTCCATCCCCTTCTCCCTGATTGCATCCCCTTCTCCCAGATTCCATCCCCTTCTCCTAAATTCCATCCCCTTCTCCCAGATTCCATCCCCTTCTCCCTCATTCCATCCCCTTCTCTCAGATTCCATCCCCTTCTCCCAGATTCCATCCCCTTCTCCTAGATTCCATCCCCTTTTCCGAGATTCCATCCCCTTCACCCTGATTCCATCCCCTTCTCCGAGATTCCATCCCCTTCTCCCTCATTCCATCCCCTTCTCCCATATTCCATCCCCATCTCACAGATTCCATACCCTTCTCCCAGATTCCATCCCCTTCCCCTAGATTCCATCCCCTTCTCCCTAATTCCATCCCCTTCTCCCAGATTCCATCCCCTTCTCCCAGATTCTATCCCCTTCTCCCAGATTCTATCCCCTTCTCCCAGATTCCATCCCCTTCCCCCTGATTCCATCCCCTTTTCCCAGATTCCATCCCCTTCTCCCAGATTCCATCCCCTTCTCCTAAATTCCATCCCCTTCTCCCAGATTCCATCCCTTTCTCCCCGATTCCATCCCCTTCTCCCTCATTCCATCCCCTTCTCCGAGATTCCATCCCCTTCTCCCAGATTCCATCTCCTTCTCCCAGATTCCATCCCCTTCTCCCAGATTCCATCCCCTTCTCCCAGATTCCTTCCCCTTCTCCCAAATTCGATCCCCTTCTCCCAGATTCCATCCCCTTCTCCCAGAGTCCAACCCCTTCTCCCAGATTCCATCCCCTTCTCCCTGATTCCATCCTCTTCTCCCAGATTCCATCACCTTCTCCCAGATTCTATCTCTTCTCCCCGATTCCATCACCTTCTCCCATATTTCATCCCCTTCTCCCAGATTCCATCCTCTTCTCCCAGATTCCATCCCCTTCTCCCAGATTCCATCCCCTTCTCCCAGATTCCATCCCCTTCTGTTTGATTCCATCCCCTTCTCCCAGATTCTATCCCCATCTCCCAGATTCCATCCCCTTCTCCCAGATTCCATCCCCTTCTCCCAGATTCCATCTCCTTCTCCAAAATTCTATCCCATTCTCCCAAATTTCATCCCCTTCTCTTTGATTCCATCCCCTTCTCCCCGATTCCATCCCCTTCTCCCTGATTGCATCCCTTTCTCCCAGATTCCATCCCCTTCTCCTAAATTCCATCCCCTTCTCCCAGATTCCATCCCCTTCTCCCTCATTCCATCCCCTTCTCTCAGATTCCATCCCCTTCTCCCAGATTCCATCCCCTTCTCCTAGATTCCATCCCCTTTTCCGAGATTCCATCCCCTTCACCCTGATTCCATCCCCTTCTCCGAGATTCCATCCCCTTCTCCCTCATTCCATCCCCTTCTCCCAGATTCCATCCCCATCTCACAGATTCCATACCCTTCTCCCAGATTCCATCCCCTTCCCCTAGATTCCATCCCCTTCTCCCTAATTCCATCCCCTTCTCCCAGATTCCATCCCCTTCTCCCAGATTCTATCCCCTTCTCCCAGATTCTATCCCCTTCTCCCAGATTCCATCCCCTTCCCCCTGATTCCATCCCCTTTTCCCAGATTCCATCCCCTTCTCCCAGATTCCATCCCCTTTTCCCTGATTCCATCCCCTTCTCCCAGATTCCATCCCCTTTTCCCTGATTCCATCCCCTTCTCCCAGATTCCATCCCCTTCTCCCGGAATCCATCCCCTTCTCCCAGATTCCATCCCCTTCTCCCGGATTCCATCCCCTTCTCCCTGATTCCACCCCCTTCTCCCAGATTCCATCCCCTTCTCCCGGACTCCATCCTCTTCTCTTTGATTCCATCCCCTTCTCCTAGATTCCATCCCCTTCTCCCAGATTCCATCCCCTTCTCCCAGATTCCATCCCCTTCATCCAGATACCATCCCCTTCTCCCAGATTCCATCCCCTTATCCCAGATTCCATCTCTTCTCCCAGATTCTATCCCCTTCTCCCAGATTCCATCCCCTTCTCCCAGATTCCACCCCCTTCTCCCAGATTCCATCCCCTTCTCCCAGATTCCATCCCCTTCTCCCAGATTTCATCCCCTTCTCCCAGATTCCATCCTCTTCTCCCAGATTCCATCCCCTTCTCCCAGATTCCATCCCCTTCTCCCGGATTCCATCCCCTTCTCCCAGATTCCATCCCCTTCTCCCGGATTCCATCCCCTTCTCCCTGATTCCACCCCCTTCTCCCAGATTCCATCCCCTTCTCCCGGACTCCATCCCCTTCTCCCTGATTCCTTCCCCTTCTCCCAGATTCCATCCCCTTCTCCCAAATTCCATCCCCTTCTCCCATATTCCGTCCCCTTCACCCAGATTCCATCCCCTTCTCCCAGATTCCATCCCCTTCTCCCAGATTCCATCCCCTTCTCCCAGATTCCATCCCCTTCTCCCATTCCATCCCCTTCTCCCAGATTCCATCCCCTTTTCCCAAATTCCATCCCCTTCTCCCAGATTCCATCCCCTTCTCCAGATTCCATCCCCTTCTCCCAAATTCTATCCTCTTCTCCCTGATTGCATCTCTTCTCCCTGATTCCATCCCCTTCTCCCTGATCCCATCCCCTTCTCCCAGATTCCATCCCCTTCTCCCACATTCCATCCCCTTCTCCTAGATTCCATCCCCTTCTCCCAAATTCCATCCGCTTCTCCCAGATGCCACCCCCTTCTCCCAGGTTCCATCCCCTTTTCCCATATTCCATCCCTTTGTCCCTCATTCCATCCCCTTCTCCCAGATTCCATCCCCTTCTCCCAGATTCCATCCCCTTCTCCCAAATTCCATCCCCTTCTCCAAGATTCCATCCCCTTCTCCCAAATTTCATGCCCTTCTTCCTGATTCCATCCCCTTCTCCCAGATTCCATCCCCTTCTCCCAGATTCCATCCGCTTCTCCTAGATTCCATCCCCTTCTCCCAGATTCCATCCCCTTCTCCCAGATTCCATCCCCTTCTCCAGATTCCATCCCCTTCTCCCAAATTCCATCCGGGTGATGGAAGGAGGGAGAATAAGGAGGGGTGATGGAAAGCGGGGGAATGGGGCGGGATGATGGGAAGCATAAGAATGGGGCGGGTTGATGGAAAGCGGAAGAATGGGGCGGGGTGATGGAAAGCGGGAGAATGGGGCGGGGAGATGGAAAGTGGGAGAAACGGGAGGGGTGATGGAAAGCGGGAGAATGGGGCGGGCTGACGGAAAGCGGGAGAATGGGGCGGGGTGATGGAAGGAGGGAGAACGGGGCGGGGTGATGGAGGGAGAGAGAAGGGGGCGGGGTGATGGAAAGTGGGAGAATGTGGCGGGGTGATGGAAAGCGGGAGAATAGGGTGGGGTTATGGGAAGCGGGAGAAGGGGGCGGGGTGATGGAAAGCGGAGAATGGGGCGGGGTGATGGAAGGAGGGAAAATGGGGCGGGGTGATGGAAGGAGGGAGAATGGGGCGGAGTGATGAAAAGCGGGAGAATGGGGCGGGGTGATGGAAGGAGGGAGAATGGGGCGGGATGATGGAAAGCGGGAGAATGGGGCGGGGTGATGGAAGGAGGGAGAATGGGGCGGGATGATGGAAAGCGGAAGAATGGGGCGGGGTGATGGAAGGAGGGAGAATGGGGCGGGGTGATAGAAAGCGGGAGAATGTGGCGGGGTGATCGAAAGCGGGAGAAGGGGGTGGTGTTATGGGAAGCGGGAGAATGGGGCGGGCTGATGAAAAGCAGGAGAATGGGGCGGGGTGATGGAAGGAGGGAGAATGGGGCGGGGTGATGGAAGGAGGGAGAATGGGACGGGGTGATGGAAAGCAGGAGAATGGGGCGGGGAGATGGAAGGAGGGAGAATGGGGCGGGGTGATGGAAAGCGGGAGAATGGGGCGGGGTGATGGAAAGCGGGTGAATGGGGCGGGGTGATGGAAAGCGGGAGAATGAGGGTGGGTGATGGAAAGCGGGAGAATGGGGCGGGGTGATAGAAAGCGGGAGAATGGGGCGGGGTGATGGAAGGAGGGAAAATGGGGTGGGGTGATGGAAAGCGGGAGATTGGGGCAGGGTGATGGAAAGCGGGAGAATGGGACGGGGTGATGGAAAGCGGGAAAATAGGGCGGGGTGACAGAAAGCGGGAGAATGGGGCTGGGTGTTGGAAAGCGGGAGAATGGGGCGGGGTGATGGAAAGCGGGAGAATGGGGCAGGGAGATGGAAAGCGGGAGAAAGGGGCGGGGTGATGGAAAGCGGGAGAATGGGGCGGGCTGATGGAAAGCGGGAGAATGGGGCGGGTTGATGGAAGGAGGGAGAATGGGGCGGGGTGATGGAAATCGGGAAAATGGGGCGGGGTGATGGAAAGCGAGAGAATGGGGCGGGGTGATGGAAAGTGGGAGAATGGGGCGGGGTGATGGATGGCGGGAGAATGGGGCGGGGTGATGGAAAGGGGGAGACCTGGGCAGGGTGATGGAAAGATGGAGAATGGGGCGGGGTGATGGAAGGCGAGAGAATGGGGCGGGGTGATGGAAAGAGGGAGAATGGGGCGGGGAGATAGAAAGCAAGAGAATGGGGCGGGGTGATGGAAAGAGGGAGAATGGGGAGGGGTGATGGAAAGAGTGAGAATGGGGCAGGGTGATGGAAAGCGGGAGAATGGGGCGGGGTGATGGAAAGCAGGAGAATGGGGCGGGGTGATGGAAATCGGAAGAATGGGGCGGGGTGATGGAAATCGGGAGAATGGGGCGGGGTGGTGGAAAACGGGAGAATAAGGCGGGGTGATGGATAGAGGGAGAATGGGGCGGGGTGATGGAAAGTGGGAGAATGGGGCGGGGTGATGGAAAGAGGGAGATTGGGGCAGGGTGATGGAAAGCGTGAGAATGGGGCGGGGTGATGGAAAGAGGGAGAATGGGGCGGGGTGATGGAAGGCGGGAGAATGGGGCGGGGTGATGGAAAGCGGGAGAATTGGGCGGGGTGATGGAAAGCGGGAGAATGGGGCGGGGTGATGAAAGCCGGGAGAATGGGGCGGGGTGATGGAAAGAGGGAGAATGGGGCGGGGTGATGGAAAGAGGGAGAATGGGGTGGGGTGATGGAAAGCGGGAGAATGGGGCGGGGTGATGGAAAGCGGGAGAATGGGGCGGGGTGATGGAAAGAGGGAGAACGGGGCGGGGTGATGGAAAGCGGGAGAATTGGGTGGGGTGATGGAAAGCGGGAGGAATGGGGCAGGTGATGAAAGGCGGGAGAATGGGGCGGGGTGATGGAAAGAGGGAGAATGGGGCGGGGTGATGGAAAGCGGGAAATGGGGCGGGGAGATGAAAAGAGGGAGAATGGGGCGAGGTGATGGAAACAGGGAGAATGGGGCTGGGTGATGGAAAGCGGGAGAATGGGGCGGGGTGATGGAAAGCGGGAGAATGGGGCGGGGTGATCGAAAGCGGGAGAATGGGGCGGGGTGATGGAAAGGGGAAGAATGGGGCGGGGTGATGGAAAATGGGAGAATGGGGTGGGCTTATGGAAAGCGTGAGAATGGGGCGGGGTGATGGAAGGAGGGAGAATGGGGCGGGGTGATGGAAGGAGGGAGAATGGGGCGGGTGATGGAAGGAGGGAGAATGAGGCGGGGTTATGGAAAGCGGGAGAATGGGGCGGGGTGATGGAAAGCGGGAGAATGGGGCGGGGTGATGGAAGGAGGGAGAATGGGGCGGGGTGATGGAAAGCGGGAGATTGGGGCATGGTGATGGAAAGCGTGAGAATGGGGCGGGGTGATAGAAAGCGGGAAAATAAGGCGGGGTGATGGAAAGTGGGAGAATGGGGCTGGGTGATGGAAAGCAGGAGAATGGGGCGGGGTGATGGAAAGCGGGAGAATGGGGCGGGGTGATGGAAGGAGGGAGAATGAGGCGGAGTGATGGAAGGAGGGAGAATGGGGCGGGGTGATGGAAAGCAGGAGAATGGGTCGGGTGATGGAAAGCGGGTGAATGGGGCGGGGTGATGGAAAGCAGGAGAATGGGGCGGGGTGATGGAAAGCAGAAGAATAGGGCGGGGTGATGGAAAGCAGGAGATGGGGCGAGGTGATGGAAAGCGAGAGAATGGGGCGGGTAATGGAAAGCGGGAGAATGGGGCAGGGTGATAGACTGAGGGAGAATGGGGAGGGGTGATGGAAAGCGGGTGAATGGGGCGGGGTGATGGCAATCGGGAGAATGGGGCGGGGTGATGGAAAGCGGGAGAATGGGGCGGGGTGATGGAAAGCGGGTGAATGGGGCAGGGTGATGGAAATCAGGAGAATGGGGCGGGGTGATGGAAAGCGGGAGAATGGGGCGGGGTGATGGAAGGAGGGAGAATGGGGCGGGGCGATCGAAAGCGGGAGAATGGGGCGGGGTGATGGAAAGCGGGAGAATGGGGCGGGGTGATGGAAAGCGGGAGAATGGGGCGGGGAGATGGAAAGCGGGAGAATTGGCTGGGGTGATAGAAAGTGGGAGAATGGGGCGGGGTGATGGAAACCGGGACAATGGGGCGGGGTGATGGAAAGCGGGAGAATGGGGCGGGGTGATGGAAGGAGGTAGAATGAGGCGGGGTGATGGAAGGAGAAGAATGGGGCGGGGTGATGGAAAGAAAGAGAATGGGGCGGGGTGATGGAAAGCGGGAGAATGGGGCGGAGTGATGGAAAGTAGGAGAATGGGGCGGGGTGATGGAAAGCGGGAGAATGGGGCGTGGTGATTGAAAGCGGGAGAATGGGGCGGGGTGATGGGAGAAAGGGGCGGGGTGATGGAAAGCGGGAGAATGGGGCGGGGTGATGGAAAGCGGGAGATTGGGGCGGTGTGATGGAAAGTGGGTGAATGGGGTGGGCTGATGGAAAGCGGGAGAATGGGGCGGGGTGATGGAAGGAGGGAGAATGGGGCGGGGTGATGGAACGCGGGAGAATGGGGCGGGGTGATGGAAAGTGGGAGAATGGGGCGGGTGATGAAAAGCGGGAGAATGGGGCGGGGTGGTGGAAGGAGGTAGAATGAGGCGGGGTGATGAAAGGAGGGAGAATGGGGCGGGGTGATGGAAAGCGGGAGAATGGGGCGGGGTGATGGAAGGAGGGAGAATGGGGCGTGGTGATGGAAAGCGGGAGAATGGGGCGGGGTGATGGAAAGCAGGAGAATGGGGCAGGGTGATGGAAAGCGGGAGAATAAGGCGGGGTGATGGAAAGCAGGAGAATGGGGCGGGGTGATGGAAATCGGAAGAATGGGGCGGGGTGATGGAAATCGGGAGAATGGGGCGGGGTGATGGAAAACGGGAGAATAAGGCGGGGTGATGGATAGAGGGAGAATGGGGCGGGGTGATGGAAAGTGGGAGAATGGGGCGGGGTGATGGAAAGAGGGAGATTGGGGCAGGGTGATGGAAAGCGTGAGAATGGGGCGGGGTGATGGAAAGAGGGAGAATGGGGCGGGGTGATGGAAGGCGGGAGAATGGGGCAGGGTGATGGAAAGCGGGAGAATTGGGCGGGGTGATGGAAAGCGGGAGAATGGGGCGGGGTGATGAAAGCCGGGAGAATGGGGCGGGGTGATGGAAAGAGGGAGAATGGGGCGGGGTGATGGAAAGAGGGAGAATGGGGTGGGGTGATGGAAAGCGGGAGAATGGGGCGGGGTGATGGAAAGCGGGAGAATGGGGCGGGGTGATGGAAAGAGGGAGAACGGGGCGGGGTGATGGAAAGCGGGAGAATTGGGTGGGGTGATGGAAAGCGGGAGGAATGGGGCAGGTGATGAAAGGCGGGAGAATGGGGCGGGGTGATGGAAAGAGGGAGAATGGGGCGGGGTGATGGAAAGCGGGAAATGGGGCGGGGAGATGAAAAGAGGGAGAATGGGGCGAGGTGATGGAAACAGGGAGAATGGGGCTGGGTGATGGAAAGCGGGAGAATGGGGAGGGGTGATGGAAAGCGGGAGAATGGGGCGGGGTGATGGAAAGCGGGAGAATGGGGCGGGGTGATCGAAAGCGGGAGAATGGGGCGGGGTGATGGAAAGGGGAAGAATGGGGCGGGGTGATGGAAAATGGGAGAATGGGGTGGGCTTATGGAAAGCGTGAGAATGGGGCGGGGTGATGGAAGGAGGGAGAATGGGGCGGGGTGATGGAAGGAGGGAGAATGGGGCGGGTGATGGAAGGAGGGAGAATGAGGCGGGGTTATGGAAAGCGGGAGAATGGGGCGGGGTGATGGAAAGCGGGAGAATGGGGCGGGGTGATGGAAGGAGGGAGAATGGGGCGGGGTGATGGAAAGCGGGAGATTGGGGCATGGTGATGGAAAGCGTGAGAATGGGGCGGGGTGATAGAAAGCGGGAAAATAAGGCGGGGTGATGGAAAGTGGGAGAATGGGGCTGGGTGATGGAAAGCAGGAGAATGGGGCGAGGTGATGGAAAGCGGGAGAATGGGGCGGGGTGATGGAAGGAGGGAGAATGAGGCGGAGTGATGGAAGGAGGGAGAATGGGGCGGGGTTATGGAAAGCAGGAGAATGGGGCGGGGTGATGGAAAGCGAGAGAATGAAGCGGAGTGATGGAAAGCGGGAGAATGGAGTGGGGTGATGGAAAGCAGGAGAATGGGTCGGGTGATGGAAAGCGGGTGAATGGGGCGGGGTGATGGAAAGCAGGAGAATGGGGCGGGGTGATGGAAAGCAGAAGAATAGGGCGGGGTGATGGAAAGCAGGAGATGGGGCGAGGTGATGGAAAGCGAGAAAATGGGGCGGGTAATGGAAAGCGGGAGAATGGGGCAGGGTGATAGACTGAGGGAGAATGGGGAGGGGTGATGGAAAGCGGGTGAATGGGGCGGGGTGATGGCAATCGGGAGAATGGGGCGGGGTGATGGAAAGCGGGAGAATGGGGCGGGGTGATGGAAAGCGGGTGAATGGGGCAGGGTGATGGAAATCAGGAGAATGGGGCGGGGTGATGGAAAGCGGGAGAATGGGGCGGGGTGATGGAAGGAGGGAGAATGGGGCGGGGCGATCGAAAGCGGGAGAATGGGGCGGGGTGATGGAAAGCGGGAGAATGGGGCGGGGTGATGGAAAGCGGGAGAATGGGGCGGGGAGATGGAAAGCGGGAGAATAGGCTGGGGTGATAGAAAGTGGGAGAATGGGGCGGGGTGATGGAAAGCGGGACAATGGGGCGGGGTGATGGAAAGCGGGAGAATGGGGCGGGGTGATGGAAGGAGGTAGAATGAGGCGGGGTGATGGAAGGAGAAGAATGGGGCGGGGTGATGGAAAGAAGGAGAATGGGGCGGGGTGATGGAAAGCGGGAGAATGGGGCGGAGTGATGGAAAGTAGGAGAATGGGGCGGGGTGATGGAAAGCGGGAGAATGGGGCGTGGTGATTGAAAGCGGGAGAATGGGGCGGGGTGATGGGAGAAAGGGGCGGGGTGATGGAAAGCGGGAGAATGGGGCGGGGTGATGGAAAGCGGGAGAATGGGGCGGTGTGATGGAAAGCGGGTGAATGGGGTGGGCTGATGGAAAGCGGGAGAATGGGGCGAGGTGATGGAAGGAGGGAGAATGGGGCGGGCTGATGGAACGCGGGAGAATGGGGCGGGGTGATGGAAAGTGGGAGAATGGGGCGGGTGATGAAAAGCGGGAGAATGGGGCGGGGTGGTGGAAGGAGGTAGAATGAGGCGGGGTGATGGAAAGCGGGAGAATGGGGCGGGGTGATGGAAGGAGGGAGAATGGGGCGTGGTGATGGAAAGCGGGAGAATGGGGCGGGGTGATGGAAAGCAGGAGAATGGGGCGGGGTGATGGAAAGCGGGAGAATGGGGCGGGGTGATGGAAAGCGGGAGAATGGGGCGGGGTGATGGAAAGTGGGAGAATGGGGCGGGGTGATGGAAAGCGGGAGAATGGGGCGGGGTGATGGAAAGCGGGAGAATGGGGCGGGGTGATCGAAAGCGGGAGAATGGGGCAGGGTGATGGAAAGCGGGAGAATGGGGCGGGGTGATGGAAAGTGGTAGAATGGGGTGGGCTGATGGAAAGCGGGAGAATGGGGCGGGGTGATGGAAGGAGGGAGAATGGGGCGGGGTGATGGAAGGAGGGAGAATGGGGCGGGTGATGGAAGGAGGGAGAATGAGGAGGGGTTCTGGAAAGCGGGAGAATGGGGCGGGGTGATGGAAAGCGGGAGAATGGGGCGGGGTGATGGAAGGAGGGAGAATGGGGCAGGGTGATGAAAAGCGGGAGATTGGGGCATGGTGATGGAAAGCGTGAGAATGGGGCGGGGTGATAGAAAGCGGGAAAATAAGGCGGGGTGATGGAAAGTGGGAGAATGGGGCTGGGCGATGGAAAGCGGGAGAATGGGGCGGGGTGATGGAAAGCGGGAGAATGGGGCGGGGTGATGGAGGGAGGGAGAATGAGGCAGAGTGATGGAAGGAGGGAGAATGGGGCGGGGTGATGGAAAGCAGGAGAATGGGGCGGGGTGATGGAAAGCGGGAGAATGAAGCGGAGTGATGGAAAGCGGGAGAATGGAGTGGGGTGATGGAACGCAGGAGAATGGGGCGGGTGATGGAAAGCGGGTGAATGGGGCGGGGTGATGGAAAGCAGGAGAATGGGGCGGGGTGATGGAAACCAGAAGAATAGAGCGGGGTGTTGGAAAGCGGGAGATGGGGCGAGGTGATGGAAAGCGGGAGAATAGGGCGGGTAATGGAAAGCGGGAGAATGGGGCGGGGTGATAGAAGGAGGGAGAATGGGGAGGGGTGATGGAAAGCGGGTGAATGGGGCGGGGTGATGGAAATCGGGAGAATGGGGCGGGGTGATGGAAAGCGGGAGAATGGGGCGGGGTGATGGAAAGCGGGTGAATAGGGCAGGGTGATGGAAAGGGGGAGAATGGGGAGGGGTGATGGAAAGCGGGAGAATGGGGCGGGGTGATGGAAGGAGGGAGAATGGGGCGGGGCGATCGAAAGCGGGAGAATGGAGCGGGGTGATGGAAAGCAGGAGAATGGAGCGGGGTGACGGAAAGCGGGAGTATGGGGCGGGGAGATGGAAAGCGGGAGAATAGGCTGAAGTGATGGAAAGTGGGAGAATGGGGCGGGGTGATGGAAAGCGGGACAATGGGGCGGGGTGATGGAAAGCGGGAGAATGGGGCGGGGTGATGGAAAGCGAGAGAATGGGGTGGGGTGATAGAAAGCGGGAGAATGGGGTGGGGTGATGGAATTCGGGAGAATGGGGCGGGGTGATGGAAGGAGGGAGAGGTGATGGAAAGCGGGGGAATGGGGCGGGATGATGGGAAGCGGGAGAATGAGGCGGGGTGATGGAAGGAAGGAGAATGGGGCGGGGTGATGGAAAGCGGGAGAATGGGGCGGGGTGATGGAAAGCGGGAGAACGGGGCGGAGTGATGGAAAGCGGGAGAATGGGGCGGGGTGATGGAAAGCGGGAGAATGGGGCGAGGTGATGGAAAACGGGAGAATGGGGTGCGGTGTTTGAAAGCGGGAGAACGAAGCGGAGTGATGGAAAGCGGGAGAATGGAGTGGGGTGATGGAAAGCAGGAGAATGGGGCGGGTGATGGAAAGCGGGTGAATGGGGCGGGGTGATGGAAAGCTGGAGAATGGGGCGGGGTGATGGAAAGCAGAAGAATAGGGCAGGGTGATGGAAAGCAAGAGATGGGGCGAGGTGATGGAAAGCGGGAGAATGGGGCGGGGAGATAGAAAGCAGGAGAATGGGGCGCGGTGATGGAAGGCGGGAGAATGGGGCGGGGTGATGGAAAGAGGGAGAATGTGGCGGGGAGATAGAAAGCAGGAGAATGGGGCGGGGTGATGGAAAGAGGGAGAATGGGGAGGGGTGATGGAAAGAGTGAGAATGGGGCAGGGTGATGGAAAGCGGGAGAATGGGGCGGGGTGATGGAAAGCAGGAGAATGGGGCGGGGTGATGGAAACCGGAAGAATAGGGCGGGATGATGGAAAGCGGGAGAATGGGGCGGGGTGATGGAAATCGGGAAAATGGGGCGGGGTGATGGAAAACGGGAGAATAAGGCGGGGTGATGGATAGAGGGAGAATGGGGCGGGGTGATGGAAAGTGGGAGAATGGGGCGGGGTGATGGAAAGAGGGAGATTGGGGCAGGGTGATGGAAAGCCTGAGAATGGGGCGGAGTGATGGAAAGAGGGAGAATGGGGCGGGGTGATGGAAGGCGGGAGAATGGGGCGGGGTGATGGAAAGCGGGAGAATTGGGCGGGGTGATGGAAAGCGGGAGAATGGGGCGGGGTGATGAAAGGCGGGAGAATGGGGCGGGGTGATGGAAAGAGGGAGAATGGGGCGGGGTGATGGAAAGAGGGAGAATGGGGTGGGGTGATGGAAAGCGAGAGAATGGGGCGGGGTGATGGAAAGCGGGAGAATGGGGCGGGGTGATGGAAAGAGGGAGAACGGGGCGGGGTGATGGAAAGCGGGAGAATCGGGCGCGGTGATGGAAAGCGGGAGTAATGGGGCAGGTGATGAAAGGCGAGAGAATGGGGCGGGGTGATGGAAAGAGGGAGAATGGGGCGGGGTGATGGAAAGCGGGAAATGGGGCGGGGAGATGGAAAGAGGGAGAATGGGGCAAGGTGATGGAAACAGGGAGAATGGGGCGGGGTGATGGAAAGCGGGAGAATGGGGCGGGGTCGTGGAAAGCGGGAGAATGGGGCGGGGTGATGGAAAGCGGGAGAATGGGGCGGGGTGATCGAAAGCGGGAGAATGGGGCGGGGTGATCAAAAGCGGGAGAATGGGGCGGGGTGATAGAAAGCGGGAGAATGGGGCGGGGTGATGGAAAATGGGAGAATGGGGTGGGCTGATGGAAAGCGGGAGATTGGGGCATGGTGATGGAAAGCATGAGAATGGGGCGGGGTGATAGAAAGCGGGAAAATAAGGCGGGGTGATGGAAAGTGGGAGAATGGGGCTGGGTGATGGAAAGCAGGAGAATGGGGCGGGGTGATGGAAAGCGGGAGAATGGGGCGGGGTGATGGAAGGAGGGAGAATGAGGCGGAGTGATGGAAGGAGGGAGAATGGGGCGGGGTGATGGAAAGCAGGAGAATGGGGCGGGGTGATGGAAAGCGGGAGAATGAAGCGGAGTGATGGAAAGCGGGAGAATGGAGTGGGGTGATGGAAAGCAGGAGAATGGGTCGGGTGATGGAAAGCGGGTGAATGGGGCGGGGTGATGGAAAGCACGAGAATGGGGCGGGGTGAAGGAAAGCAGCAGAATAGGGCGGGGTGATGGAAAGCGGGAGATGGGGCAAGGTGATGGAAAGCGAGAGAATGGGGCGGGTAATGGAAAGCGGGAGAATGGGGCGGGGTGATAGAAAGCGGGAGAATGGGGCGGGGTGATGGAAAGCGGGTGAATGGGGCGGGGTGATGGAAATCGGGAGAATGGGGCGGGGTGATGGAAAGCGGGAGAATGGGGCGGGGTGATGGAAAGCGGGTGAATGGGGCAGGGTGAGGGAAAGCAGGAGAATGGGGCGGGGTGATGGAAAGCGGGAGAATGGGGCGGGGTGATGGAAGGAGGGAGAATAGGGCGGCGCGATCGAAAGCGGGAGAATCAGGCGGGGTGATAGAAGGAGGGAGAATGGGGAGGGGTGATGGAAAGCGGGTGAATGGGGCAGGGTGATGGAAATCAGGAGAATGGGGCGGGGTGATGGAAAGCGGGAGAATGGGGCGGGGTGATGGAAAGCGGGAGAATGGGGCGGGGTGATGGAAAGCGGGAGAATGGGGCGGGGTGATGGAAAGCGGGAGAATGGGGCGGGGTGATGGAAGGAGGGAGAATGGGGCGGGGCGATCGAAAGCGGGAGAATGAGGCGGGGTGATAGAAGGAGGGAGAATGGGGAGGGGTGATGGAAAGCGGGTGAATAGGGCAGGGTGATGGAAATCAGGAGAATGGGGCGGGGTGATGGAAAGCGGGAGAATGGGGCGGGGTGATGGAAAGCGGGAGAATGGGGCGGGGTGATGGAAAGCGGGAGAATGGGGCGGGGTGATGGAAAGCGGGAGAATGGGGCGGGGTGATGGAAGGAGGGAGAATAGGGCGGCGCGATCGAAAGCGGGAGAATGAGGCGGGGTGATAGAAGGAGGGAGAATGGGGAGGGGTGATGGAAAGCGGGTGAATGGGGCAGGGTGATGGAAATCAGGAGAATGGGGCGGGGTGATGGAAAGCGGGACAATGGGGCGGGGTGATGGAAAGCGGGAGAATGGGGCGGGGTGATGGAAAGCGGGAGAATGGGGCGGGGTGCTGGAAAGCGGGAGAATGGGGCGGGGTGATGGAAGGAGGGAGAATGGGGCGGGGCGATCGAAAGCGGGAGAATGGGGCGGGGTGATAGAAGGAGGGAGAATGGGGAGGGGTGATGGAAAGCGGGTGAATGGGGCAGGGTGATGGAAATCAGGAGAATGGGGCGGGGTGATGGAAAGCGGGAGAATGGGGCGGGGTGATGGAAAGCGGGAGAATGGGGCGGGGTGATGGAAAGCGGGAGAATGGGGCGGGGTGATGGAAAGCGGGAGAATGGGGCGGGGTGATGGAAATCGGGAAAATGGGGCGGGGTGATGGAAAGCGAGAGAATGGGGCGGGGTGATGGAAAGAGGGAGAATGGGGCGGGGTGATGGATGGCGGGAGAATGGGGCGGGGTGATGGAAAGGGGGAGAACTGGGCAGGGTGATGGAAAGATGGGGAATGGGGCGGGGTGATGGAAGGCGGGAGAACGGGGCGGGGTGATGGATAGAGGGAGAATGGGGCGGGGAGATAGAAAGCAGGAGAATGGGGCGGGGTGATGGAAAGAGGGAGAATGGGTAGGGGTGATGGAAAGAGTGAGAATGGGGCAGGGTGATGGAAAGTGGGAGAATGGGGCGGGGTGATGGAAAGCAGGAGAATGGGGCGGGGTGATGGAAATCGGAAGAATGGGGCGGGGTGATGGAAAGCGGGGGAATGGGGCGGGGTGATGGAAATCGGGAGAATGGGGCGGGGTGATGGAAAACGGGAGAATAAGGCGGGGTGATGGATAGAGGGAGAATGGGGCGGGGTGTCGGAAAGTGGGAGAATGGGGCGGGGTGATGGAAAGAGGGAGATTGGGGCAGGGTGATGGAAAGCGTGAGAATGGGGCGGGGTGATGGAAAGAGGGAGAATGGGGCGGGGTGATGGAAGGCGGGAGAATGGGGCGGGGTGATGGAAAGCGGGAGAATTGGGCGGGGTGATGGAAAGCGGGAGAATGGGGCGGGGTGATGAAAGCCGGGAGAATGGGGCGGGGTGATGGAAAGAGGGAGAATGGGGCGGGGTGATGGAAAGAGGGAGAATGGGGTGGGGTGATGGAAAGCGGGAGAATGGGGCGGGGTGATGGAAAGCGGGAGAATGGGGCGGGGTGATGGAAAGAGGGAGAACGGGGCGGGGTGATGGAAAGCGGGAGAATTGGGCGGGGTGATGGAAAGCGGGAGGAATGGGGCAGGTGATGAAAGGCGGGAGAATGGGGCGGGGTGATGGAAAGAGGGAGAATGAGGCGGGGTGATGGAAAGCGGGAAACGGGGCGGGGAGATGAAAAGAGGGAGAATGGGACGAGGTGATGGAAACAGGGAGAATGGGGCGGGGTGATGGAAAGCGGGAGAATGGGGCGGGGTGATGGAAAGCGGGAGAATGGGGCGGGGTGATGGAAAGCGGGAGAATGGGGCGGGGTGATCGAAAGCGGGAGAATGGGGCGGGGTGATGGAAAGCGGGAGAATGGGGCGGGGTGATGGAAAATGGGAGAATGGGGTGGGCTGATGGAAAGCGGGAGAATACGGCAGGGTGATTGAAGGAGGGAGAATGGGGCGGGGTGATGGAAGGAGGGAGAATGGGGCGGGTGATGGAAGGAGGGAGAATGAGGCGGGGATATGGAAAGCGGGAGAATGGGGCGGGGTGATGGAAAGCGGGAGAATGGGGCGGGGTGATGGAAGGAGGGAGAATGGGGCGGGGTGATGGAATGCAGGAGATTGGGGCATGGTGATGGAAAGCGTGAGAATGGGGCGGGGTGATAGAAAGCGGGAAAATAAGGCGGGGTGATGGAAAGTGGGAGAATGGGGCTGGGTGATGGAAAGCAGGAGAATGGGGCGGGGTGATGGAAAGCGGGAGAATGGGGCGGGGTGATGGAAGGAGGGAGAATGAGGCGGAGTGATGGAAGGAGGGAGAATGGGGCGGGGTGATGGAAAGCAGGAGAATGGGGCGGGGTGATGGAAGGAGGTAGAATGAGGCGGGGTGATGGAAGGAGAAGAATGGGGCGGGGTGATGGAAAGAAGGAGAATGGGGCGGGGTGATGGAAAGCGGGAGAATGGGGCGGAGTGATGGAAAGTGGGAGAATGGGGCGGGGTGATGGAAAGCGGGAGAATGGGGCGTGGTGATGGAAAGCGGGAGAATGGGGCGGGGTGATGGGAGAAAGGGGCGGGATGATGGAAAGCGGGAGAATGGGGCGGGGTGATGGAAAGCGGGAGAATGGGGCGGTGTGATGGAAAGCGGGTGAATGGGGTGGGCTGATGGAAAGCGGGAGAATGGGGCGGGGTGATGGAAGGAGGGAGAATGGGGCGGGATGATGGAAAGCGGGAGAATGGGGCGGGGTGATGGAAAGTGGGAGAATGGGGCGGGTGATGAAAAGCGGGAGAATGGGGCGGGGTGGTGGAAAGCGGGAGCATGGGGCGGGGTGATGGAAGGAGGTAGAATGAGGCGGGGTGATGAAAGGAGGGAGAATGGGGCGGGGTGATGGAAAGCGGGAGAATGGGGCGGGGTGATGGAAGGAGGGAGAATGGGGCGTGGTGATGGAAAGCGGGAGAATGGGGCGGGGTGATGGAAAGCAGGAGAATGGGGCGGGGTGATGGAAAGCGGGAGAATGGGGCGGGGTGATGGAAAGCGGGAGAATGGGGCGGGGTGATGGAAAGCGGGAGAATGGGGCGGAGTGGTGGAAAGCGGGAGAATGGGGCGGGGTGATGGAAAGCCGGAGAATGGGGCGGGGTGATCGAAAGCGGGAGAATGGGGCGGGGTGATGGAAAGCGGGAGAATGGGGCGGGGTGATGGAAAGTGGTAGAATGGGGTGGGCTGATGGAAAGCGGGAGAATGGGGCGGGGTGATGGAAGGAGGGAGAATGGGGCGGGGTGATGGAAGGAGAGAGAATGGGGCGGGTGATGGAAGGAGGGAGAATGAGGAGGGGTTCTGGAAAGCGGGAGAATGGGGCGGGGTGATGGAAAGCGGGAGAATGGGGCGGGGTGATGGAAGGAGGGAGAATGGGGCGGGGTGATGGAAAGCGGGAGATTGGGGCATGGTGATGGAAAGCTTGAGAATGGGGCGGGGTGATAGAAAGCGGGAAAATAAGGCGGGGTGATGGAAAGTGGGAGAATGGGGCTGGGCGATGGAAAGCGGGAGAATGGGGCGGGGTGATGGAAAGCGGGAGAATGGGGAGGGGTGATGGAGGGAGGGAGAATGAGGCTGAGTGATGGAAGGAGGGAGAATGGGGCGGGGTGATGGAAAGCAGGAGAATGGGGCGGGGTGATGGAAAGCGGGAGAATGAAGCAGAGTGATGGAAAGCGGGAGAATGGAGTGGGGTGATGGAACGCAGGAGAATGGGGCGGGTGATGGAAAGCGGGTGAATGGGGCGGGGTGATGGAAAGCAGGAGAATGGGGCGGGGTGATGGAAAGCAGAAGAATAGAGCGGGGTGATGGAAAGTGGGAGATAAGGCGAGGTGATGGAAAGCGGGAGAATGGGGCGGGTAATGGAAAGCGGGAGAATGGGGCGGGGTGATAGAAGGAGGGAGAATGGGGAGGGGTGATGGAAAGCGGGTGAATAGGGCGGGGTGATGGAAATCGGGAGAATGGGGCGGGGTGATGGAAAGCGGGAGAAGGGGGCGGGGTGATGGAAAGCGGGTGAATAGGGCAGGGTCATGGAAAGGGGGAGAATGGGGCGGGGTGATGGAAAGCGGGAGAATGGGGCGGGGTGATGGAAGGAGGGAGAATGGGGCGGGGCGATAGAAAGCGGGAGAATGGGGCGGGGTGATGGAAAGCAGGAGAATGGAGCGGGGTGATGGAAAGCGGGAGTATGGGGCGGGGAGATGGAAAGCAGGAGAATAGGCTGAAGTGATGGAAAGTGGGAGAATGGGGCGGGGTGATGGAAAGCGGGACAATGGGGCGGGGTGATCGAAAGCGGGAGAATGGGGCGGGGTGATGGAAAGCGAGAGAATGGGGTGGGGTGATTGAAAGCGGGAGAATGGGGTGGGGTGATGGAATTCGGGAGAATGGGGCGGGGTGATGGAAGGAGGGAGAGGTAATGGAAAGCGGGGGAATGGGGCGGGATGATGGGAAGCGGGAGAATGAGGCGGGGTGATGGAAGGAAGGAGAATGGGGCGGGGTGATGGAAAGCGGGAGAATGGGGCGGGGTGATGAAAAGCGGGAGAATGGGGCGGAGTGATGGAAAGCGGGAGAATGGGGCGGGGTGATGGAAAGCGGGAGAATGGGGCGAGGTGATGGAAAACGGGAGAATGGGGTGCGGTGTTTGAAAGCGGGAGAATGAAGCGGAGTGATGGAAAGCGGGAGAATGGAGTGGGGTGATGGAAAGCAGGAGAATGGGGCGGATGATGGAAAGCGGGTGAATGGGGCGGGGTGATGGAAAGCAGGAGAATGGGGCGGGGTGATGGAAAGCAGAAGAATAGGGCGGGGTGATGGAAAGCGAGAGAATGGGGTGGGGTGATAGAAAGCGGGAGAATGGGGTGGGGTGATGGAATTCGGGAGAATGGGGCGGGGTGATGGAAGGAGGGAGAGGTGATGGAAAGCGGGGGAATGGGGCGGGATGATGGGAAGCGGGAGAATGAGGCGGGGTGATGGAAGGAGGGAGAATGGGGCGGGGTGATGGAAAGCGGGAGAATGGGGCGGGGTGATGGAAAGCGGGAGAATGGGGCGGAGTGATGGAAAGCGGGAGAATGGGGCGGGGTGATGGAAAGCGGGAGAATGGGGCGGGGTGATGGAAAGCGGGAGAATGGGGCGGGGTGATGAAAAGCGGGAGAATGGGGTGTTGGTGCAACCCTATGGTTTGCACTCGGCTTGTTGTCCGTGTGCGTGCATGTGTGTGTGTCTATGGAATGGTATGAGGGCATGGGATACTATATATTTAATGCTTATAATTGTGTGTGAATGTTGAGTCATGATGTCGAGTGTATGTGTCGAGTCAATAGCGAGTTATCGCTAGACGCGTGTTACGCGGTCGTTTGTGTCTCGCGCGCGGTTTCTATTTTGTCGTGCGCGGTTTCTCTTTTGTCCTGTGTCGAACGTTCGGTGTGTCGCAGGAGTGTGCAGCAGACCCATCAAGAACTCAAGGATGAGTTTGTGATGAAGATCCGAGCCTTGGTGTCAATCCACAAGTGATTTCAAAGCTCGCCAAAAGGGTACACCTCAAGATATTGAAGATAGTTACATTACTTTGTGTAGTGTAACATTTCACTTGGTGTAGGCCCTAGTGAAGGGTAGTCTCGAGACCCTTCGTGGTTGGGGACAGTGTGGCACTGTTCCACATCACTGTACCTCGGCTCTTGGGGTTTGTAGGAGCTGGGAGTCATTCCCAACTCGTAACTCTTCCTAACTCTTCCTATCTTGTGTTCTAAGACCATAGTGGCTGCCATAGTGCCGTTCGTTCAAACCAACCCTGTGTCGTCAATACTTGGTCAAATCGTGCGATCTAAATTGCCTATTGTAGGCGACAATAAGGCGCTCCAGATCCAAGTTGAATCAAGTCATTTGAAGTTGTGACCAAAACGCTATGAACGTTTGAAGCCGCTATGCAGAAATCCGACTGTGCACTCTATCTTTCGTTTTAGGCACATTGGAGCCTACTGTGACTATAACAAGTGGTATCAGAGCCCCTCGGAGCAGTTTCGACAATGGCTGGACCTGAGGAAAGGGGTGGCAGAGGTGCTGGTGGCAGAGGAGAAGCCCAAGCTCAAGGCCAACCCCGTGACTCAGCCATGGCACCCGTGCAACCAAGTGTTGGCCCATCTAGGGATGAGCCTAGAGTGTTTGGCCTTGACAAGTTCAATGGTGACAACTTTGCTGAGTGGTCCTTCAGAATGGAGAACATATTTGACCACTATGTTCTGCTGGAGGTGATGGAAGGAACGGAGAAGCGTCCCGAGAACGACCCGGAGAAGAGCCTGTGGGTGCGGAAGAGCGCACAAGGCTACCTCCTACTTGGGCAAGCGTTGGGGAGCAGCCAAATCCGTCACATCAAGCCCTTCCAGCATGAGCCAGAGAAGGGACCAAAAGCATGGGCTGCTCTCAAGGGTGTACACGCTCCTGCAACAGCGGCGGTAGCTGTGGTGTTGGAACGGCAAATGGCGACGTTACGAATTGAAGAGGATGAAGCGGTTGAAGAAGGGGTGCAGAAATTCTTCGACTTGTTGACGCGGCTTGAGGGAGCTGATTTGAACTATAGTGAGCTCCAAAAGAAGACCAAGTTGCTGGCCCTACTCCCAGAGTCATGGTCCTCGCTCATCATCAACCTTAATCGTGACTTGCCCCGCCTCTCGCTTGAAGACGTGAAGCGAGCTATCCTTCAAGAGGATTTCCGCCGCCGTGAGTTGGCGAGTGCGGATGGCGCTGGGGCAGCGAGCATCGGCCGTGGATATGGTCGAGGAAGAGGCAGAGGACGAGGGGGAGGAAGGTTTGGTGGCAGCAACTTCGGCGGAGGCCGTGGGAGTGGCGGTTACGGCAGCGACGAGAAGAACTACGGACGCGGTCGCGGCCGATTCGACGGCGAGTGTCACTATTGCCACAAGAGCGGACACATGTGGCGCGACTGCTACAAACTCCCTGATGGTTGGACCCCTGCTCAAGGCCAAGAGGGTAGAGGAGCAGGAGGAGGGAGAGGAAGAGGCCGTGGAGGCCGTGGCGGTCGCGGTGGCGGAGCTGCAAACATGAAGAGCGGAGACAACGACAAGGACCCGAGCGACGATCGATACCCGGGTCTAGTCTACTTCGTGTCGACGCAAGTACCGGCTGGTCCAGAGAAGGATGAAGGCTTTGAGGAGCCAGCAGCTGTGGGGAAGGTGACCCTACACCCCCTGGACTATTGGGTGATTGATAGTGGCGCTACCTATAGCATGACACCTCGCCCGGACTTGCTCACCGAACTCGAGCCGTCACCGGTGAAGCATGTCACATCGGCTTTGGGGCAGCGAGCAGAGGTGAAAGGCATGGGGAAGGCCATGTTCAAGGGTGCTGATGGGAAGATGGTGGGCCTCAAGAACGTGCTTTGGGTGCCCAGCCTTGCTGCAAACCTGATTTCCGTGCGGCGGTTGGCAAAGGCCGGCATGGACACTAACTCGAAGGGAGCCAAGACCTACACCGCAAGGCTTGGCGATGGGATTCTTTGGGACCTTCATGAGGACAGAGATGTCTACAACGAGATGTGGCAGATCCCCGTGGTCCCAATGCCTAAGGAGAGGCAAGTGGCAGCAAGCGTCAGCACTAAAGGTAGAGCGGTTGGTAGCGGCGATTGCGCGGACGGTCGCGCTAAGGAGAAGGAGTCCAAGAAGTGCAATCTTGGAGGGACCAGCAAGTTCAGTGAACCTAAGGAGAGTGGTGCAGCAACCAAGGAGCAGCAAAACGGTGAGGAGAACCCCGAGGCAACAGCGGAGGAGGACTACGGAGAGAGTATGTGGGGCGCTATTGCGAGCGCGGCATTCTCCAATCCAACTTCGGCTACGGGGGAGTGTGATTGGCTCACCTTGCATCGGCGCATGGGGCATGTGGCCCTGCCCATCTTGCAGCAGCTAGTGAAGAATGAGATGGTTGCTGGCATACGTGTGAAGGGGGAGCCCGATGAGGTACTTGGCTGCCCGACGTGCATGCAAGCCAAGTTCACCCGTTTCCCATTCTCTAGTTCGGAGGCAACGGCTAAGGCACCACTTGATGAGGTGGTGATGGACGTGGTGGGCCCCCTGAAGCTTGGAGCTGCTGGAGCTGAGTACTTCCTCACTTTTGTTGACGTCTACACCCGTATGACTTGGGTGTACGTGCTGGCCAAGAAGAGCGACGTGGCTGAAACGTTGAAGGCGGATTGGTTCCCGATGGTGGAGCGGCAACAAGACCGTCTAGTCAAGTCAATCCGCACCGATCGAGGGGGAGAGTTCCTGAGCAAGGAGTTTGGGTTGTGGCTGAAGAAGAATGGTATTCGACACTCCCTCACCATGCCATACTCCCCTGCAATGAATGGCATCGCTAAGCGAGCGAACCGCACAATCACGGAGGCGGCACGCGGGTTGCTCATTGAAGCCGGGCTACCCGACTATTTCTGGCCTGATGCGGTGCGGAGCGCATGTGTGGCCAAGAACAGAGCCTTGACTCATGTGGGAGCAGACAAATGGGTGCCCTATGTGGAGTGGCTAGGAAGGAAGCCAAAGGTGGATATGCTTCGGGTGTTCGGGTGCATGTGCATGGCGCTTGTGCCTAAGCATCTTCGGCACAACAAGCTTGGTGCCAAGGCGGTGTGGGCCGTGCACTTGGGCATGGCTCAAAACAGCAAGGGATGGCTTCTTTGGGACCCATTCACCAAGAAGTTCTTGGTGAGAAGGGACTGCAAGTTCATGGAGAACTTCATGTACAAGGATTGGAAGGCGGAGAATGAGGCGAAGATAGGCGTGCGGTTTGGGGAGGTGAAGAGTTCCGGTTTGGAGCATGTGGAGCTGCCTTTGGAGCTGAGCAGCGGCAGCACAACCACGAGGCAATCCTCCCTTGTGAAAGGGGGAGAGGAGGCCACTGATGCAGAGGAAGAAGAGGAGGAGGTGCAGCAAGTGAGTGAGCGTGCACCGTCACTCCCTTCCTGTACCACGAGTGCTCCACGGAATCGAGCCACACCGCAGTAACGCCAAGGCCTTCAAGTCGCTGCAGCTGAGGAGGAAGGAAGGGGGAAGAGGAGAGTTCAACCCCCTAATAGGCTGACCTATGATGCACTTGGAAAGCAAGGCAAGACAGCCCTGGCCGGAGCGGCAATGATGGTCGGAGACGATGAGGAGAGTGACTACGAGGAGTGTGCCTTCGCGTTCTTCTCTCCGGTGGAGATGCCGGGAGAACCAGCAACTCTCAAGGAGGCTTTGGAGAGTAGTGATGCTGAGGAGTGGAAGAAGGCTTTGGAGAGTGAGCTGAAGAGCATCGAGGAGAATGACACGTTTGAATTGGTGGAGCTACCGGAGGGGCGTACGGCGATAACGTCCAAGTGGCTCTTCAAAATCAAGTCGGATGCCGACGGCAAGATCGAGCGTTACAAGTCTAGGCTTGTAGCCAAGGGGTACCAGCAGAAGGAGAAGGTGGACTTCAAGGAGCTGTTTGCCCCTGTGGTGAAGCCGACGACGCTGCGAACCCTATTCGCGGGAGCCGCCATCAAAGGATGGGTGGTGAAGCAAATGGACATTGTGACGGCATTCCTTAACGGCATCCTTGAGGAGGAGATTTTTATGGCACAGCCAGAGGGGTTTGATGATGGTAGTGGCAGAGTGTGGAAGCTGAAGAAGGCCCTCTATGGGCTGAAGCAGGCCCCTAGGCAATGGTACATGAAGCTGCGCGAAGTGTTGGAGGAGATCGGCTTCACTCCCTCAACGGCCGATCACTCCTTGTTCATGCTTGGCGAGGGGGAGCAGAGGAGCTTCATGGTGGTTTATGTGGATGACATTCTCATATTCTCACCCTCCTCTGACCTTCTGAAGGAGGTGATGCTGAAGCTGCATGACAAGTTCAAGTGCAAGTCCCTTGGTGACGTGAACTTCTACCTTGGGCTCCACATCGAACGAGACGTGGAGAAGCGGAGCATGCGAGTGCACCAACGGAAGTACCTGGAGGCGTTGGCTGCCAACTTTGGCCAGAGTGAAGGTCATGTGGCTACTCCCTTTCCCTCTGGGTTCAAGTGTGTGAAGGGGCCAGAGGAGGAGAGCGTTGGAGAAGAGGAGAGGCGCCGATTTCACTCGTTGGTGGGCAGCCTCATGTATGCGGCGGTAAACACCCGACCGGACGTCGCGTTTGCTACCGGGCAGCTGGCTAGGGTTGTGCAATGCCCTAATGAGGAGCAGGTAGCAGCTGGAATGAGGGTGTCCAAGTATCTTGGCCAAACAGCGACCGTTGGGCTGCAATACTCGGCGGCGGCACAAAGGCGCCAAAAGGGCGCGGATGGTGTTGAACCCGGGCGTTTGTTCCTCACCGCCTACTCGGATGCTTCATATGCATCAGAACCAGAGGACATGACAAGTGTGGGAGGCTTCATATGTTGTGTTGGTGGAGGCCCAACTGCTTGGGAGAGCAAGAAGCAGGTGGACCAAGCTTTGAGCTCGGTGGAGTCCGAATACATGGCACTCTTCCGTGCCGTACGGGAGATTGTGTGGCAGCGGCGTTTGTTGGCTGAATTGGGGGAGGAGCAGCAAGGACCTACCCCACTGTATTGTGACAGCCAGGG